CTTGCTGAGTAAAACTTCAGTAAAAAATGTTTCAACTCTGTATTGGAAGTGTTTGGCAACTACAACAGGATTCAAATTTAACATTGAGCATTTGTCACTGTAAGACATTGCATGAACTTGTTCATCAGTAATGTCCATTCCTCTTGTTCGAGCAATTATTTGAAATAATTCAGGCCACCTCAAATCAGCACAAGATAATGTCATAAACCAAGTGGGAATTCCTAGTTGTTTAACCATAGCTACAACTTCATACATGAATCTCTGCCAATAAGGGGGCGTACCAGGGATATGTCGTAAAAATAAATATGCTTGATCTTGACAGATGAGATTTTGTAAGGTTTGTACATTGGACCTCATTTGTGAAGCAGTTACAGATTGTCCATGGACTTTCTTTAGAGCTATATTTATGCTATCAGATACCTTCTTTTGTTCAATTATAAACTGTGCAAAAAATAGATATTCKGGATTTGTTGCAAACCTGCCACTGTGGTGAAGTAACCTTGCATTAAAGTATTTAGTTGGTGTCAATTTAACCTTTCGTTCTGTGGTATAACCAAATCTACCCCTAGGGAACAAAACTGGAAATGCTAATTCTTCACATTGTTTATCCATCATGAAAGATACTGGGTGCTTATTTTCTCCAGGTGCAATGTTGTATATTTCATTTCCAGTGGAAACATTTGCTTGATCAACAGTAACAGGATAGTCAGGTGTGACTGTTTGTAGACAAGTCTCATTAGTTGGAGCTCTATGTTCATTCATTGGATCATCTATTTCTTCCTCATTATTATCTGTTTTCTTGTCATTTTCATTATCGACAGGTGACTGAAGTGTGCATTTATCAATTTCATTATTGTCATTTTTATGATTTTCATTGGAGGTTTGTTTGTCATCCACAGGATCTTGAATATTATTATTTTTTGAGGAATTTTCTGTGTATTGAGAATTTGAATTATTCTGTAAAGTTATAAGGCTATCATCAATTCTCTCAATGTCTATTGTAATAGTTTTATACAATGCATTGTTTACTGTAAGCCAGTTCAGTGCATTAAGTATTAGTTGTGGGCGAACAGCTTGAAAATACATGTGTCCTCTGAACTGCAGCTTGCGTTTTAGTTTCAACATGATAATTCCAGATCTTTCAGGTGGACGTGGTAAAATACGACAGGTCTTGTCACATTCTATAGGTACATTACAAATAGCACCCTTAATTTTTCTTTGCTGACCCTTTGGCATTACAACAATTTTCTCAAATACAATTCGCTGAGCAATAAGTATCTGCTCAAGTTTTTCTAAAAAAGCAAGTTCTGCTGGTATGTCATCAACATGCATGTCATTGAATACAGCTTGGCAGGGAATTTTTCCTTTCATTACCTTTGAATGGCATGTTTTACAAATGTATTCTTTATTGTCAAAAGATAGTTTCTTTGTGAAAATATTTTCAATATTGCACTTGACATATTTTTGTTTGTTAAAGGTTAGTACTGATTTCTTGTACAACATTCTGTTGCAGACAGTGCATATATAATATGGTCCTTGTTTTATCTTATTGTGAAATTGTGAAATGCAATAATCAACATCAAAGCTTAATATATTTCTTTTCTGTTGAGCCATTTCTGATCTTTTTTTTATTGTATTGAGGTGTTTGTCTTTTTTTTCAGCATCCATGTTGTGATACCTTGTTCTACTATCTGCAGCTTCTTTCTCTTGTAATAGTTTCTTTTGTGTGTCATCCATGTCCTTATATCTTTCAGCTTTTTTCTCAAGTAATAATTTCTTTTTTGCACTACATGTATTTGTGTCATTATATTTTTGAGCTTTCAGTTTAAGTAACTTCTTTTTCTGTAATGCATCCATTTCTTTGTATTTTTTTGCACGTGATTGAAGAACATTAATCTTTTTGGTACTATACCTTTGTTTATCATATGAMATTTTTGCTTTTTTCTTTGCAGGTTCCATTGGTGAATAGCATTGATTATRTTTGTTGCACATGCGTTTTCTTTGTTGACTYGATTTAAATTTTCTCAAAATTTTTAGTTTGGATACATTTGACARAGTTGTTGAGCAGGATAAAAAGTAGGAAACATATTGATTCTTAAAATTGGCATGTCCATCTAATTTTAAAATATCACATATTTTTTCACTAAGACAATCAATATCATGAAATGGTCCTGTTAGYTTGAGTTSCCCATTCTTAAATATAAGCAAAAAAAATTTCAAGTAAGTCTGTCGTTGTTTTTGGTAGGACTGGGCAATACAACTGATATAATTGCCACAATAGTAAAGCAAAAATCCAGTTGTTTTATCATCAYTTCTTGTATTTTGTTGGATACAATTAATAAGAAGTGATTTATTAGCATCATATGTATGCAGAAAAGAGCCAAGAATCACATTTGAACATTGTACATTTATATCTGCATCATAAATGTTTATCATACTTGGTATTTGTTTAACTACATTGTGCTTTAGTACTGCATAATTGTTGTAGAACAAGTCTGCATGTTCATACAGAGCCTGTAATGTTGATGAATCCCAGTAGCTGCATAATTTAATGACAGAGAAACATATGGAATAAATGAACATAATAAATTGTTTATTAATTGGACCRTTGGCATTGAGTTTACTTAATTCATTGTAGGTCGAATTCCTGGTATTTGATAATCTGGTTGTCGACACATAGTGAAACTCATCAACATGACCAATGTTAATTAGTGGAGAATTATTTTGGACATGTACTGGAGTAACAATAGTATGTGGGGAAAATCCTGGATTTGATTCTGTTATTTGAATAGTGATCCTTAATGCATCAGCAACTGCTTGAATGATAAGTGCATCAGCCCATGTACCTTGAAGAGACATATTATGAAGATATCTGAGCCATGACGTTTGTGTGTTGCTTTCAATAAATCTCTCTGGATGATCTGTCATGTATTCAACCCCAGCACTACGTATATTCATATGATAGTTACTATTTCCATACAGCTGATGCGCTACTGATCTAAAGAAACAATCTCCAGCTCCACCTACATCTTGTGGTTGTAAACCTAGGTCAGCTAATCGAGACTCCATTAAAATTAATAATGGAACTGAAGGCACTAGAGACTGCAATGCATTACCTTGTGTAACAGGCCCAGGGTTTAATTCAATATCTCCTGACAATAATAATTTCATATATGAAAAACTATACTTTTCATTTTGCTTTTTGTAACATTGTTCATACTTTGAGCAAAAACATGAAACATTTTTTTGAGTTACTATTATGACAGTTTTTTTCTGTGATTCATAGACATAGTCTTCTAAGCAAACCAAAGGACCAGGATTTTTTTCCACATCCCTACAAAGACAGTAATAACAATGTGTTTTTCTGTGATTCAGACTTTTATAAACTCCAAAATTACATATTAAATCAGAAGATCTATGAGTGTTAGATTCCCTGAATTCATTAACTCTTTGGTTAAAGTTTTTGTGTTTATATTTAATTGTTGAATAATTTTTTCTTGGCTTGCATAAGCATCTGTTATCTTCATCAACACAAAGTTTTTTAGACAGACTGCATCTATTCATGTAATGTATGTTTGATGAACTTGGCATGTTTGCTATCTTTTTTCTTAAAGCATTTCTTAAAACTCTACTTTTGTTGAAAGCACGTAGAAGATGTTTTACAGGTAATCTGCTGGGTTCACGATCCCTTTGAGCACGTGATTTAACTTTTACGTGGTTAGTATAATACAAGCTAACATACTTGGAATGTCTGGATMGGCAGTCTTTTATTGGAATTAAAGAAGTATTTTTTTCAGTATACTTTA